GCAATACGTGATAGTGGACGTCACCGTTCCCATCGAGAAGAGTCGGTGGCGGGCGGTGACGAAAGGGTGGACCACCGCCCGGTGACTCGTGATGCTCTTCGAGCCCTTGAAGATGAGGTCCGTCGTGATCGGAGCTCCGCTGAGCGTCATGCTGAAGTAGCATATCGCTGTGTTGGACGCTCTTGACGATTTGAAGCACGTCGTGCGTCGGCTGCATCACCTTGAGGGCTACCGCGCTCTGTCGGAGCGACTCCTAGGTGTCGAGCAGGCAAATGCGTCGCTGCATGCGACGGTGGAGCACTGGGCGCTATTATAAATGGAGACTGTTGTACTCCGTGCTCAAAACCAGTTGCCGGTTCAGCTTCTGGGATGCGAGGGCCCGTGGGATCCGCATCGGCGCCAACTCTTCCGCGTTCACTTGCGCCGGATCCCGGTGCTTCAGCAAGCCACGTAAAGCAGCGGTTGGGTGCGCTTCCGTTTTGGAAGGTTTAGCGTATACGCTAGGCCCCGTCTGGCCACAACCTTAAACGGTCCATTAAATCGTGGACAAAGCTTCGTCCGGAAGATAGCAGAGGCTGCATGTGTAGGCAGATTTTTAGAATTTGATAAAACCAGGTCCTCGACCTTAAGGCTCTCCATTTTGCCTCTTCCTTTTTCGTCTGCATATTTTTATGCAGATCTTGGCTTTCAGCCATCACATCACGAACGTGTCGTAGGATACTCAGTTTGGTAGACAAGAAGCCTTCGACTTCTTTGCGGATGGTGAAGGGGCTGACATCAGCTAGCCGCTCGGCAATTTCTTCCCCACCAAGCCCTGAGCCATGGGATGGCGACATTAGTGGGACGCGAGGGTGATCCAGCCCGTTCACGTAGAACGGCGCGTAGCCGGTAGACGAACACACTGCATTGTTCAGCGCAAACTCTACGAGTGACAACATGGCGCGCCAGCACCTCGACGTCTCAACACAGACGCTGCGAAGAAAGTCTTCAATAATGCGATTCACCCTTTCGGGTTGACCATCGGTCTGCGGATGATCCGCTGTCGACATTTATAACTTGATGCCGAGCACCTTAACGATAGTCGACCAAAATTTTCCCGTGAAACGGGAGTCTCTATCAGAGACAATCGACTCTGGGAGTCCGTGTTGTCGGAATACACGAATCACGAACAGCGTTGCTGTACCGACTCCGTCGATGGTGTCTGGCACCGCCGCCATATAAGCCATCTTGTTCAACCTTCAACCGGTCGACGAATACCACGACACCCGTGTTGCCCTCCGAATCTTTCGGCTAAAATTTAATGAAATATCATACTACAAAGGCCGAACACAAATTCAAGAACATAGACTGTCAGCACCCAGTGGGTACCGGTAAGCTAGCCAAGGGTGCAGCCGCTTTTGGAGAGGGTTTGACACGTCTCACACGTGCGCACATAGGTGCTAGTCCATTTGTACATTTTGGGCCACCAATTGTGGTGACTCACAGAGTTGTACGTTTTCTCACGATCGAAATGACCACTGAGTGGCGTGTCGTGAGCCTCGTAGAGGATGCGGTATTTCAAATCCTCACCATGAGGAATCACAATTCGTGGTGTATCCGCTGAATCGGTGCTATAATATAACAAACCATTATTCAATGAATATCGGTGCAATCGTACACGCAGTCTAGATGACAATTTCATGTCCGAGTTCTGAACCCCTTGCTCCCTAGAGCCTGTAGCAATGCTACACACATCCCATCACCCGCATACGCGGTGCGGATCAAATCCGTCACAGACGACGTTACAATTGTAACATGATCTGGTCTGCGCGACGACGCATCAGCCAAAGCATTCTGCTTTCCCGGCTTATACTTCACCTCGAAGTTATATTC